ATTCAATTAGAAAATCCTGATAAACCGATTAGATATTTTATCTCAGAAAATATTGCAAGACAACGGATGGTGCAAAACCAAAAGAAGAATCAAATAACGTTCGAAGAGGAGCGAAGAATCTACCTAAAGATTTTACAATGATATGCTATTATTTTTTTTGTCTGAAGTCATTTTTTACAGTAAAAAATTCAGCGTCCTTCTACATTGAGTAGGATTTTTCGTATAACAAATTGGATCTAGTTTGAACATGGGGCCCGAAGTGGGTAGAGTGGGAGATGCGGGTTCAAGGGTGTAAATTTTAGATGCTTCATAACAATCGAGAAAATCAAAATCTGAAAATTTAGTCATGACCTGTTTTTGACAAAATCCTATCATGAAAAATGTTGTTTTTTTGTAATACAAAATCAAATAACCTTAGAAACGTAAAATTGTCCTCAAATATAATAATTGCATTTTCTTAACATGATAAAATTATATTACCTCGTTTTAAGCTTATTATAGATATTTTTTAAAATTATTGACCTTTTCATATATTTTTAAAAGTATTATTGGAGTTTAAAATTTAATCTTGTAAAAATTACGAAAATTTGCAAACTATTTGGCATTTAATAACTTCTATAATTTTCAATTTAAGTTAAAGCTTGTCAATTTTATACAAGGGGTTGTTCTTCGTGAGTTGTTTTTATAACAACTCTTAAAATCTCAAAAATACATGGATAGTAAAATTTAAATTTAATGCATCCATTACAGCGACCCTAATTACTCAATAATCAATGATGATGACTACTGGGCACTAAATAGTATCTATTATACAGCAGAGTGACTTCCTCATTTCTTTTTACGTTAATAATATGTGCCCCATGCTTTTAATTTAATAATTTTTTTTAATTCAAAATTTTTATTTACAGTAGTTATATAATGTGATAATGTGGTAATTCATAATATATACTATCTAATTTTCCAACGAAATTAAATAGACCATCATGACGTAAGGTTCCGAAAAAGGTTAATCTTATTTTTCTTATTGCCGAGGTTGTATTTTTAACAAAGCTTCATTTTTTTTAGCTTTATTATCTAGAAACACTATATTATATTATATTTAGTACTCTATAGTAATCCCATAGAGATTTTAGGAGAAGTTTTAGTTGATTAATGATTTAATTAGGAGATAAAATTAAAGAGTTGAGATATACTAACTCCTGTTCTAATCGAGCCAACTTTCAGCTTATTTGGAAAATCCTCATAAAACTTTTTATCCATTAGTCATTAGAATTAATATTTAAAAAAAAATTACAGGCTATTTTTCAGTTTCATTTTGTTTCAGAATTCTTCTAGATTAATCATTCGTGTACATTAGTGAACACCAATAACTCTTATTTTTTTACCCAGCTGTAGTACAAATGATCTATTATATATTTATATAAGTGATAAAGTTTAATTACTAAATTTAAAATTAGTAGTAGGTGGGTTTCCCGTAGTCCCGTTTATTCTATGAAGCAGTTTGCAGGTAAATCTAGTCATCTAGAAACCGAGAACAGAAAGAATTTGACAGTTATTTATGGATTAGGACGATTAGGTAAATCATAATATTGAAAGAGGCTGTTTCAGAGGGTGCAGAAGCGTGACAAAAAATACGATGATGTAGCTCATGTGGGTAGGCGATTTCGGTCTTGTGGAAAATGCCTTAAAAAAAAAATGTCTTTAAATGTCTTTAAATGTCTTCACCTTACAGATGGTATATGTAGCGTTTAATTTTTAAACATAATTACTTTATTATATTGCCTATACATAAAATTAGTTTTGGCGCAGAGTATAGTTATCCTTTTTTGGTTCTACCCCCCTCCTATGCGTAAATGTCACTGGGTACATCCAATGTTTATATTCCGGTGATAAAGCAAATAATATACATATAATACACCTAATAGAATAAATTATTATAGTGTATGAATTTAGAATATTCCATGTTTATTTTTTCAGAATCGACATTGGGCATTTGAGCATTAATTCTTAATGTTATTTGATATTCTCTGACCAAATATCACCAATTACTAAGGACCGTGTTATTTCTACAATTTAAAAATAGCAATCTATGAATAAATATTTTCTTATCATACAAAAAATTATTTAAAAAAAAAAGTCATGGGAGAGGATCTTCCCCTATATTCTCTCATTAGTAAACCCCTGTTTTTGAGTTGTTTGAAGATACAGTGTACACATTTAGGATTTAAAATGTAATATCTATTATTCAAGTAGGATTTTTTTTTTAATACCTAGTTAATAGTTATAAAATAAGATTTGCTTGTATGCAGTAATTGTGCATACTGTACATTTGTTTTAACTAACTTTTTGCTTTTATTGTTATTGCATTGTTTGTTCTTGGTCCGCCAAAATCGATGATGAATATATCTACCTGGAAACCTAAAGGAATAAAACCCAATGGTTATTTTAACAATTAGCTACCTACCAAAATATATATTCAAACGTGTCTTGATGACGTCGCAAAAATCCGGTGCCAATCACGTATACGTGATCTAATAATTCTTAAGGCGGGAACAGACTACTGTCACGTCAAGTGATTTTTCACATAAGATTACTTTTTAGGGCAGTATTCTCGGCATATACATTATAGTAGGTCGTACTTATACTATTATACTACTTATACTTTCCTGTAAACTCTTTGAAATTGTATTTACTATGTATAAGTATACACAAGATACAGCGATTTGCATTATACGTGATGCAAATGAACACATTTACAAGTGGATATGAATTTGGTTTATGAAGTACATGTCTTATATAAAATTCAATCTTTTATATACACTGCAGACAGCCTTATCAAAATGTCCTTTGATGACAGGCCACGAATTTTAACACTGACACAAAAGCCTAAGCAATTTCGTTATTTGTACGATATACTTAAATATAAGATAACTATAAGTTATCTTTTGTAGCAAGTTTAAAAAAAAATATTTTTAATCGTATTTATTGTTAAATACTTAGTATTTACGTTGTGTCAAAACGTATCATTGTATTCAATTTAATTATTAAAAAAAATCTTATATTTTCATCATTTCTTGTTTTGTTAGAGCTAAAATTGAGCTATTATTTTGTAATAATATCAAATAAGTAACTAAATGAAATATTACACTTAGGTGTGCTTAGTAGGTCAGTTAACGGATTTTTAAACACCATTTATGATAATGATAGATATACTTATAATGTATTGATAAACGTGTCAGCCATGTATAGTGTATGTTTAGTACTCGTCCGTCGTGCATTTTAGTCAGTCATATTATTTTAATCTATTACCTGGTAACATAATATTATGTACAAAAATGATGCACAAATACATTATCGTCGAAAAACCCAGAAAAGTTTGCCAACAGCCACATTGTAATATCGGTGCCATAGGACACACCCAGAAATATTGTGGCCACCCAAGACCAACCACGTGGTATTAATAATTATTAAATGCAGCTTAGATCACTTCACCTAATACTGTACAAGTCACTTGAGTTACCGGCCAAATCGCTCCATGTTCTGGAGTGGACCCTGTCAACTATAAGTTCAGGCTGAAAACTACTCTTTCGAATTTTGATTATGATACGACAATATTTTCCAGAATAATTATGAGCTAAAAAATCTACAGAAAACAAGCGGGATTCTTATTTGATAAGCAGATATTTGTACAATACTCTCTAGGCAGTACAAAATTCTAAAAATATGAAAATATGGTCTAATACGTAAGTTTAAAAACTCCGAATATCAGAATTTGAACAAATTCATTATTAAATTTAAATTTGCGGTGATCTTATTCTGTGAATGACCTGGACTCCGGTATATTACTAATATCCGAACTACATTTTGTTTTGAATATACACTACCGATCTATTAGTTAGTAGACAAATTAAAATATCATTTATTCAAGCGTGATACAAAGGTTCAGATAATAATACAGATATATAATATTGACTAAAACTCAAAAGATATTTTGCTCTATCTCCGCTTATATCACAGAATTTAAATATATAATTGCAAACGTGTTTTGGAAAAAGTTGATTTTTTTGCAGTTTCCAACCAAAGTATAATGTTTGCCACAATCTATAATATGTGGATAATACTGTTAATAAACTAAAATAACGGTTTGATAATAAATATGTAAATTCTTTAAACATAAATTTATAGTTTTAAGGATCGAATCAATGTAAAATTGTTGAAGTTTATTCTATCACTTCGTATAACATTTTGAAACAATATAAAACAAAACGATTTTAAACTCTACAAAATGTGGTGTAAAAGATTATGATAATAATAAGAGAAAGTTTGATTAAAAATAATTTAATGTGTTAGTCATTTTATACACGAAAGCAGTAAAAAACAATGAAATATTATTAAAATAAAATTACTTTTAAAATAGATTAATTAAATATGTGTTTGTTTTTATTCATGATTTTTAAATACCTATTATAAATAAATAGGTTTAAAGACTATTCACTTTAAACTATTAAAAAAAAAGTTGACTTCTGCTTACAAGATAAATATCTAATAATACCCTTGACGAATTATGATAATTAATTCTAATTTTGAATTTTAATTTGACTTCATAATAAAATAATATTAATTAATAGATATATTATTAAGATTATTTTTCAAAAACTTGTATTTTAATTATTTGTTTTTTTTAGCAGTATTAGTATTATTTGTATACTTACCTTACTCAATTTCCTTGTTATCCATCCTGCATACATTTTAAATTGTCTCGAGACGTGAATTGTTTGTAATTGTGTAAATATTTAAAATTTAAATACACAAAATATGGAAACTGAAAACTACAACAATGTATATACTCTCCAATTTCCATAAATAATTTGAATGTCGAATAATGGGATTTATACCTAAAACATTCAGTATTAACTTCAATTAACCTTGATTGTTTAAACTATTGTTATTATTTTATCATAACTCTAATAATAATATAAATATGAAAATGTTAATTTCAGGTGGAAAATTCAATCGCTACATACGAACCACACGCTTGTATTGTGGTTTACTCGGTGGTGTCTAAAGGATCGTTCAAAGTAGCCGAAGAAATATTAAACTATTTGTGGCAAGAGAACTACACTCGCGAGAAGACGGTCATTGTGGTCGGCAACAAGGCGGACCTGATGAGAGCAAGATGTATTACTACCGAAGGTAAACAATATTTAAATAGTTTACACCCCAATGATATATTGACGACAAGACGAAATGGTTTTCTATTTCATACCCCTAGTTTGAAGGCGTTATGTTTACAAGACGTGTCATATTACATTTACATATATAGGTGTAATTCACAGGTTGGGTATTAATAAACATACTAAAAGGTATAGGTGTGTGGTGTGACCCGTTCAAATTAAATTTGTGAGTGTACACCTACACTGAGGGTATTGGAAATGAGATAGGTATGTTCATCAAATGAGCATTAAATCCGTGTGTAATATTTGATTTAATATATGACAGATAAAAAAAAACATTTTGTATTTTTAAATTGCAGCCTACATTAAATAACGTCGCAAGAGCTTCCTTAATCTATTTAGTATTTACTTATCGGCTTAAATATTAACTAAATAAATTTATTATTTATTTTAAACTCAATGGCAGTACTTATACTAATGGGAAAGGCACTATACCCGTACTAATAAATTCACGATTCCTCCTGAAGTCTGCAACTTTCTGGATTCCATCAATCGTTTTCGTCAGTATTTAATATTATCTATAAATAAAATAATAAAAACTGCTTTATTCTCGTAAATAATTTATAGCCAAGCTAAGTGTTTTTATAATAATTTATGTATATTATAATAATTATAATATGCATATTTTGTTGTTGCATATTAACGATAATGGCCATCGTGCTGACGTGCTCTGAACGGTAGACTTATTCAAATGCCTAGACTAGATTCGCCGTCTGAGAATTTCTTTGCAGTCGTTTGATTCGAAAATATTAATTCAAAAATAATTATTGTTGGATACTTATTTTCTTTATAGAGGGAAAACAATTGGCATGCTCGCGGGAATGTAAATTCATTGAAACCTCGAGTGGTATTCAACATAATGTGGACGAGCTGTTGGTGGGTGTGTTGAAACAAATCCGTCTGCGTGAGACCAGAGACAAAAAGAAACAGAACCAACGGAAAACGGCTATACACGGATCGAAAACTTCACTGTCATTACATATCGCAAAAGAAATATTGCAAAAAATGTGTTTACTCGATTCCAAGTCGAAATCTTGCGGAAACCTTCACGTACTCTAAGTCGAATAATAACTATAATTTTAATAAAACTCGACGTTTTCTGTACTCCTATTTTTAATTTACTAATGCTCGTATACTATATATATATATATTATGTATAACTACTTGTGTATAAACGCGCCTGAAACAATCCTTGATACCTACTTTGTACTTACTTCTTTACAGGGACGGAGTGGGTGAGACACTACACGGTTCAGTAACCATGTGATATTTGTAAGAGATACCTATCGATTGATGATTTAAACCGACTTTATACAGGGCGTCGGTCTATTTTTGAGTGACTGGCAAAAGGGCTGCTGCTGTAAAACATTTATCACTTTTCTTCGGTGTATTCCTATATATACGTATTTTTGTATTTTCGCGATCTTACTGAAACAAATACGCGAATGTTTCTAATACGCTTCCAGGGCCATGTAATCCTATTAAGGTCGGAGGGACTAATCCCTCGCCCTTCTCCATTGACTGTTCTATTTTTTCCTGTGATATAATATTATACACATTAAACATTTCAATCCTAGTTTCTATCGATCATTTACCAGATAATAATAATATAATATAATATCATCATCATACAAAAATATATGTATTATTATTGTTATATCATTTAATCAATTATTTAATAATATTATTACATTTGATATAAGTTGCCAAAACAATATTATACAAATAACAGTTGATAAAATTTAGAAAAATTATTCTTCCTGAAACCAATACCTACAATGTTGGTAGAATATTATTTTATTTTATTATTGTGATTTTCAGATAGGTTCATATTATTATATGTATTGTAGACAAACAGAGTATGGTCAAAACATATTTGCTCTTCTGTGATAAAGAAGTAAAATCTATCATTTTAGTTATTGATTTGTATCCACTTTATACTAACTCGCTTATTATTTGGTTTACCTACCGATATCATCGGTATTTACGTGTTTTTAACAAGAGCCTATGTATAATTTTGTTATTCAAATAATTAAGACATTTATAAAAAGAAGTATTTCTATACTTATTCTTACAACTATAACGAGTATCATTTTATTGTGTGTTAAATAATGTTCTACTTACACTATTTAAATGTATTGTTATTCGAATGGTTTTATTTTGCATACCTTGAAATGTATATTTTTATTATTTAAATTTTTCAGTTTAATACAAATTACTTATTTATATTTTACGCGTTCTATTGAAACACAATATGTTTTGTATTAGGTGTAAAAACAAAATTCTAAACACCATACGATAACCTAATTATGCCATTACATGTTATTCTATTCTAATTGTATTTTAAATTTAAAATACATACATCGTCATAAATCATAACTTTATATGATTTAATAAGAAATATATTGTTTTTTTTTTGTGTGTATTAAAAATAAAATAAAACCGAATAAAATTTACCTATAGGGAATATTTTACTTTTTGACTCTTCAAATATTATAAGTTTTCAATAAAAAAAAAGTTTTTTATTTAATTTTTAGCGCGTTGTTTTTTAAACTACATTATATTTGTAGATATACGGTGTTTTTCCATTATCAAGATAAGCAAAAAAGTTTTGCACAATGTACATTATCATAACTATAAAACAAGATTAAGAATTATGTTGGTATAATCAGTTTTTTCATTATTAATTATTTCTTTTGCGAAGAGTCAAGAGTGGGTCGAACTTTGAATTTTACCACTGTATCAAGTATAATTACATTAAGTTGAATAAATCGATACATACAGCTATACAAAATTGTCCTAATTAATAAAATATGTAAAAAATAAATTATTTATTTGCAAAAAAGAAATACACCTAATCACAGATGGTAATTCCATACTTTTTTATATAACTTTCTATCACAAAGAATATCGAAATTTATTTTACCGTCGAATATTAATGAACTTCAATATTATGCATGGCGTATTTATTTTAATAGTGGTTCTTACAACCGTTGATTTAGATCTCCATTACGATAAACCCTGCAGAAGATGGCATGTCATTATTGAAAATTGTTTTGGGATCGCATTGGACAGTTACAAGAAAATGTGTCGACTACGGATTGTGTTAAACGTAGGGCCATATACCAACCGAATATTACTCCCGAGGAGAAAGCTCAAAATGTGTTATATTTAGACTCATACAAAATCCGGTTACCCACCCCCACAGAATTTTTTTTTTAATTTTATAAATTTAGGTCGACTACCACTGACTTTGTTTAGTAACTTAATACATCTTCTTTACCATATGACAGGTACACGGTATCAAACGTTCAAGATTTTTAAACCAGCAAAAACTCGAATAGGTCAAATTTCTATAAGTATTTTCACTTAAATACAAATTTGAACAAAAATAAAAAACTACTTAAGGTCTATATTGTTTATGCACATAAATGAATATTTAATATTCATCGAATATCTTATACTATAGTATTAAACCAATTATATTTATATACATACTTTTGCATACCATATTTTTTTTCTCGAATTTCACAAATAATAATTGTTTCATTTGAATGAATTGTTAAATAAAAATTATTCTTGGGTACTTTTTAGCTAATGTATAAATTCTGTGTATCGTAATCCCAATTTAATATCGATCACTCAACCCCCTCCCCTTCCCCCCACTCTCCAATTAAAACTCCACACGTAAGTAACTCTATATTTCATTATAAAATATATTATTACATTATAAAGTTGATAAGTAATAAGTAAGTAACAGCGGTTATTAAATTATGTTTCAAATGAAGATCCATATAATATTATGTTATCATCTTATCATTGTTTTCTATACGAGTCGGATTCGATCTAATTTCAAACTTAATTAACTGTTGTGACATGTGACACATATTATTATAAAATATACATGTTGGAATTTCTCTCTCTCTCTCTCTCTTATGAATACTGAATAACTACAGCGGTTGAACTTTAAAATTGTTTTAATTCGATCAGTTCGGTTTCTTTGTATTGTCGGGTGTCTGCATGTAGACGGGTGTGCTGCACAGTATAATACCAAACATGTTATTACGATAAAGATATTTACAACTGTGGTACAAAGCCAAACGCCAAGCACGCCAGAATCGTCAAATATGTACGTGTATTACATATTATTATATATTACCGAAACGTTTGATATCGACGAGTCTCTGCTGCGGTTACACGGGCAACTAAAAATCAATCATTCCCTCGAAATAATATCGAGACACCTCGAGGCTCGAATGTCACCGTGGAAAGTGAGCCTTTAGATTTTATGGGATATAATATACACAGGGTGTTTTTTTTTGTCCCCGTACAGTTATTTTATCATTTTCTACGTTAGGTGATGTATTTGTTTTTGAAAATTGTTCACATAATTTGAAGCCACCGCAAAATCGTTTACTATTTATAAAGAGTTTAATTTTTTTAAATGAACATTTTATGTATTTTCGATATTGTTGTAAGCCAAAAATATATAAGTCCAAAAACGATTAGGTTTAAAAAAAAGTAAAAATATAACATTTTTTTTTCAATAAATTTGGACTGTATACCTGCCTACCACCTACCTATAATGACTTAAAATTATGTACAAAAATATGTATATTTAATGTAGGTATTAATAAAATAACTGCAGTATAGTCACTGTGATAAAATGATCATGTTGTATTACTGTCTGTGCCTATATTCTACATAGCTGTGCACTCACGTGCGTCTGCCATATAATATACGTTCCATGTGCGCGTTTGAGGTCGTAATAACTTCTTGTCGACATAAGGCGATGGAAAAAACAAAACAAAAATAAACTACAAACGAGACGACCCTTTTGAGGAGGGTTTTCTGCTGGAATCTGGTATGATATGGGGATCTCGGATACATAATATTATATTATCGTGCACACAGCACACAACCAGCTATAGCTCTACTACATATGGGTTTGAGGATAGAGAATAATTTATAACGAGCCATCCTGGCACGCAGAGATGATGCACTTTGGATATTTTGTTTTTTTCTTTCCTCGGGTTCCCGGCAATTCGCTATTTATTCTCCCTATATATTCACGCGCGATATAATATATCCCATTAAAATAATAACAACGCAATGCGCGGTGACGATACATAGCGCCTTAGCGGCCAGCGCATCGTGCTCGCTGTTATTACTATTATTATAACATTATAATATTTATGCGGTATTTTTATTTTTATTATTTTAGTACATTTTTTCAGCTCAATAAAAACCCGGAGACTAAAATAAAATAACTATAAAACATTCATCTGATGTGAATTCATCCTACTAAAAATCATTAAATCCGTTCGAAGCCTAACGGATTTATTTTTCCTGGAAAACAACGCAACGTGCTTCACTATGTCTTCGAAAAATTACAACCTAATAGAATTATTACAATGTGCATTCTCGTATTAATACAAAAAATATATCCTCAACGATTTTAATATTTTACCTTCAACCTTGGTATTTATAAATGCCAAGAGATACCCACGTTTTTCAATTTTATTTTTACGACGATGAGACAGATATAGTGATGAATAAAATTCCTTAAAAATATGGCAATATTATATTCGTTCAAAAAAATTATTGTTGAAAAATTATGTTTTAAACTCAACACTCGATAATAATCTTAATATATTACATCACACATACGTAAAATATGCTAGTGATATTTCAAAAGAAAATGTTAATGGGTTTGTAATATTAATTAGAATTACTGATTTGCATCAATAAAATATTACATCATAAAATAATTTGAAAATAATAATAAATGTATACTTAGCTTCACTGGAAAATTATTTATGTATACATCTACTATATGGAATACGTATATGTTCGTTTAAAATTACAAAAGAAAATCAGAGTTTTATGTAACATTTCAATTATAATAATACATACGATAAAAGGGGAAACTGTGAGAACCTATATATATTATATAATACATAATTTAATGAGTTTTCCATTTAACAGTTCCCTGTGTGTAATATATGTATATATGTATATTAGTATATTACTATAAAGTTATTCAGACGCGTTATTATTAATTTTTATTATTATAACCCGTATTAATTATTCCAATAGGTTCATTATACCATATACAATTTGTTATACTTCAATTATACGGAACAAAGTTTCGACGGTCACAAAGAAGTAACGTCGACGTTTTGTTGTAACGAAGTATCTAGTTTCTTTTTATAATATTCGACTATTCGAGGTTTATGTTCTATTACCTGTTGCAGCACTGTGGGTCACACTCACACACATTTTACCGAACATCAGAGCTACTGTATAGGGCTCACTGTAAATAAATATTAAACTGTAATAATCTATTTTGTGTAATGCAATGTTGTGTTTCGGCGACAACTAGAACACAAATGTTTTCTCCAAATTGTTTTACAGAGGTGCATTTATAATAGGCACACCTATATATCTTTCACAAAAGGCATTATTAATTTCAACTTAGTTTGCGCAACTCCGTCGCAATTAAGAAGACATTTTAATAATGCCTTTGAACGTCTCATACACAAAGTTTTGACCACACTTCGTTTTTCAGACTAGAATAATAGGTATATAGCAATATAGCATCGTATAAAATGTCACTCAGTTGTATCATACACTATTTATAATATGCATGTCTACGACTAACACGATAGTTTTGAACTGCGCCGTACTCGATCGATCCCGATTAATGTGTGTGTGATTATATTATAATAAAATGACTGAGTGCGTTTGTCCGTCATCATGATGCTTGCGCCTGGCTTAATAATTATATTACCTATGTACAGACAAATTTTCCCAGGACGAGGTGCACTTGGGATTTGATTTTCGGAGAAACTTTATAGTCTCGTACA